TGTCACCAGGTGAACTCGGTGGAGCCATGTCTCTGCCTGCTGACCTGAGCGTCCTGCAGGCCGGCCGAGGAGCAGAGGGGGAGGCGGCTCTGGCGACTCTGGAGAAACAGCTGATCTGTCCCATCTGCCTGGAGCTGTTCAACAAGCCAGTGGTGATTCTGCCCTGTCAACACAACCTGTGCAGGAAGTGTGCCAACGAGCTGTACCAGGTGTGTGTGTGTGTGTGTGTGTGTGTGTGTGTGTGTGTGTGTGTGTGTGTGTGTGTGTGTGTGTGTGTGCAGTGGATTATCAGTGTCTATAATGGGATGTGTGGATGTGTCACTGGTTTGCTCACAGACAAAAAAATTAAGTCATGACCTACATTCACAGCCTTTGTTAGTGTGTGTGTGTGTGTGTGTGTGTGTGTGTGTGTGTGTGTGTGTGTGTGTTAGGACTTTACTAGTTCACCTTTTCTCTCCATCAACACCATCACAACATTAATCTCAGAGTTTATTCTCAGTTTTGTGATTTGTTGTGATTCAGGAAAATAAATCTTCTGATTTCTCGATGTGAAGAAACAGATTGAACTTCAGTCTTGACTCTGCAGTTTTGGTGAAAAGACAAACAAACATTTATTTCTCGTTTACTTTTGCTCTCATCGAACATTTACCTAAAAAAAGATGGACGACATGACGGCTCCCGAAACCGAAGCCAAACGTCTCAGTCACCCCCTGGTGGCTGGCTGCAGTATAAACCAGCCTCCTCCGTGTTAGCAGATGAAACGTTTCCAGGTAGAGTCACAATGAGACGTGACGCTCTGTCCAAGAATCCGTTTCTTCACCTTTAACACTCCGTCACGTGTTGAAACCTGTTTTTATCTCCTGCTCATGTTGACTGAGCTTCATGAGAACATGTCTGTGAACATGCTACAGACATGTTCCTGGAAACACTTTCCTCCTCCTCCTCCGAGGAACTGGTTCAGACTGTGTCCGTGTAATTCACAGAAATCCTTCATTTTACTTTTGGAGATGATTTACGGTTCTGAGCTAAAAGCAGGATTTTTATGACGCTGGATTTAGTTTCAGTCAGAAACACAGAGTGTAAAAAAAAAGATGGCCGACAGTGGTTAAGTATCGACCTCGATCATGCGGCTCCACGATCACTATCGCACAGACTCCGCCTCCAAAAGACGTCATCACCACAAGATGGCAGCGTTCGTGTTGGAGTCAAATCTCACTGAGTAAACATCCTGTTTCACTGAGTAAACATCCTGTTTCACTGAGTAAACATCCTGTTTCACTGAGTAAACATCCTGTCGCTCTCAGTGTCGTCTCCTTTTTAACTCGTCACTCCAGCGAGGAGCCGCTCACAAAGATGGCGGCGTTGGTGTCTCAAATGTCTTCGCTTAATTTTTGGAGACACTTCGTCCTTAATTTTCAGTCGCTGATCTGAACCAACAGATCTGATTCAAACCTGCTGCTGCGACAGAAAAGACTTGACCTCACTTCACTTGACCTCACGTCACTTGACCTCACTTCACTTGACCTCACTTCACTTGACCTCACTTCACTTGACCTCACTTCACTTGACCTCACTTCACTTGACCTCACGTCAGAGCTAATTCATCCAAACAGGATGAACGGATGAAGGATTCGTTGATTTAAACTCATGTGATATAATATGTAAGAAAAACTTTGCACCTCAGGTTTTTCGTTCTCGTTTCACACGATATGATTCTGAAGCGTGACATTTAGAATGTGGTGTGAAAAGTGATTCCTGGACGTTGACTCGTTGGATCTTTGTCGTGACGTTAGTGGAACACGTCGGAGCAGCTCAGTGTTTGTCAGGGTTTGTTTGTGTGCTGGGCTCTGAGCCTCGGTCCGGCCCAGCAGCAGCTGAGGCTTATTACAGCGGCTATTTCAGGACGTTCACTCCTCCGACCTTCCATCCATCTCTCTCTCGTCTTTCTGTCTCTCTGCTTCTTTATCTCCAGGCTCTCAAATCTCTAATCGGTCTCACTTCTTGTTTTCTGTTTAAGCTCCAGGCTGATTTTATTTTGACCTCACTGACACAGCGTGGCGGCATTTTAAACACTTTTAGTTCCCAAAACAAATTACAGCGATGGATGAGTTGATCGTTTGACCTTTGGTTGTGTGTAACATCAGAGCGTGGACACCGCTGTGGCGAGGGAGCTGCAGTCAGGAGGCGGTGAGCCTCACCGTCATCTGTCAGTCGTCAGAGTCACTGTGACCAAATCAGCAGGATGAGAGAATAACTACGAGTTTCATCCATTCACTTTATTCTTTATCTGAGCTGTGAAGCCCTGAATCACTGAAATCCCAGCATGCATCTGTGTTGTAGGCTAACGAAGAAGTTCAGTAGAAACAAGTGTTTACATGTCTAATGTTTTGGTTGTCGTCTGTGCCAGCCCTCGCTGTTCCAGGCTCGAACCACCATGCTGGTGAACAGCGGGCGTTTCCGCTGTCCGTCCTGCAGACACGAAGTCGTGCTGGATCGCCACGGCGTCTACGGCCTTCAGCGAAACCTGCTGGTGGAGAACATCATCGACGTCTACAAACAGGAAGTCAGCAACAACACCAGCGACGCCACGAGGTGAAAAGTCACATATGCTCAGTTTATTAGGAACATTTAACGAAGTCTTTTATTCTGCAGTAAATCCTCTCCAAGGTTAGAATTATTTAACAGTTGGTGGAAAGTGTTTTTAGCCGTTTCGACCAAAAGTACCGGGAACTTTTACGCCAGGAGCTAAAAGCTTCGTACACACAACTGACAGGCTGTTCCACTCCAGTCCACCAGGTGGAGGTAAAGCAGAAGACTACACAACAGCAATAACGTTATATTAGCAGTAAATATTGAGCAGATTCAAATCGTGACCAGCACTTTTCAAACAACCGAATTCCTTAATGAAGAATTGATTTCATTTCATAATAACACTGATAATAAGACGCTGGAGTACTCAACCAATCAGGGATCTTCAGCGCTGCAAGCCCCACCCATAGTTTCCTCAACTTTCTTAAAGAACAACTCGCTGGACGAGGACGTTCTGCCGGTCAGAGCGGCCGCAGGTTCGATTCCAACCATTTGCTACATGTCTTCGTCAAGCTCTAAAAACCTGTTTTCTTGTCATCGATCAATGGGAGGAAACAGACTTCCTGTAAAAAGAGCTAAGGGTTTGAATCTCTGTCCAGTCTCCTCCCTCCTGCTCCGCCCCCTGCTCAGCTGACGTGTCCGGACCACGAGGACGAGAAGGTGAACATCTACTGTCTCACCTGTCGGGTTCCCACCTGCTCCCTCTGCAAAGTGTTCGGGGCTCATCGGTCGTGCGAGGTGGCTCCTCTGACCGACGTCTACCAGCAGCAGAAGGTTGGTGAAGACACTCGGACCAATGACAGAGAAGAAGAAGAAGAAGAGGTGGAAAGTAAAATGAAAGTTAGAAGTTCTGCTTGTTTCTCAGGACGAGCTGAGCGAAGGAGTCGGTGCTCTGGTGACGGTTAACGACAGAATCCAGACTCTGATCGACGAGCTGGAGGAAACCTGCAGGAACATCGAGGTGAGATCCGATCTGTCGCTAGAGCCTGAACCAGTCACGAGGTATTTAAAGGTCCAGTGTGTAGAACCTAGTGACATCTAGTGGTGAAGTGTGATGTTGCAGCTGAACTTTTGTTTGATTGTTTGATGAAGATATTTGACGTCCGTGCTCTCGCTCCTCTCAACAGCAGAACTGTGCGGCTCAGAAACAGAGTGTGTGCGACAGGTTCCAGCACATGATGTCCATCCTGGGACAGAGACACAAGGTCAGACAGACTCTGTTGATGTAGAGTAGAACTGCTCTCACGTATGGAGATAGTCATCGTTATCACCTCGCAGGCCATGACTCAGCAAATCAGCTCCGAGCAGGAGGAGAAGACGGGCCACGCCCAGGCTTTGGTGCGTTGCTATGGGGACAGCGTGGAGGCCAATGCCAAACTGATGGAGAGAGCAGCGAGCAGCATGGACGAGCCGGACATGGCTGCGTTTGTCCAGGTGAGCTCATGACCAGCGTCCAGGTGAATCCTGGAAACCAAAGGTCGGTGAGGGGACAGATCAGCGTCAGGCCGCTGCTGTCTGAATTTGAAATTGACCAGATGAGGTCAGAGGAGAATCTCTGACATCAGAAATCATCAGCGTGGAAAATAGAAACTTGTTTGTGTGAAACGTCGATGGTCAGAAAGAGAATTACAAACACAAAGAGAATCTATGAAACCAGACGAACAGAGGTGAAGCTTTTCAGATAAAGATGTGAATCAATGTGAAGATATGAAAAATGTGACGTGATCAGTGTTTCTTTCTTCCTTCAGAGTTCCAGAGAGCTCATCACAAAGTGAGTGTGAAATAAAAAGGTTTTATTGTCTGACTCTTCTGCACGAGCTTCACGTCTGTCTTAGACTCTTAATTTGTATTTTCTTCACACAACAAATGAATTGCTGAGCAGAATCACCTGTCGTTCATATCTTCTGTCTCGGTCCCTGTTCCCTCCCTGACGCTCCCTCCGGCCTCAGGGTGATCACAGCGACCGGCTCCTGTCCGACCCAGACGCTGAAACCAGGTTATGAGAATCTGAGCCCGTACGAATTTAACTTCAGTCGACAGGAGCGAGCTCTGAAGAGCATCGACTTCATGAAAGGTAAGAAAACCAGAAACACTCAGAATCCAATGATGGACTGGGACTGTGTGCCTCCATGTTCACATTTCTATATAATCAGATTCATTGATTATTGAATGATCTGGAAATCTTAGTCCGAGTGTCAACACATCAAAACTCCCTCAAACTGAACCCAAGAGAAAAGAAATCCACGCACACGTTGGGTCTCAGCAGGTTTTCTTTGTTTCCAGCTGTGGAGGATGTTCCTGAAGAACCAGATGTGGAACCAGAGGAACCCAGAGAACCTTCTGAACCAAAGCTCCATCAGGAGCCATCCGGCCAGAACCTGGAGCCTGAAGCAGAACCGGTTAAAGAGACGACATCACCACCAGAGGAACCAGCTCCAGATCCAGAGCTGCTGACGGACCACGAGGAACCTGCAGGAGCCGAACTGCAGCCGCAGCCCGAAGACGAGAACGACGAAGGGTCAGCTCACATCAACAAGGAGAAGACGGTGGAGGGCGACGAGGCCGAGGGATGTGCAGCTCCCGACTCCATTAAAGACACAATCATGTGTGAACCGGAGGGAATGAGCACACAACAGGTACCGCACAAAATACACACACTTTGACTCAGGTGTAAAATTCATCTTTCACAGTTTCAGCCACTAGAAGAAGTTTTGAACGTGGAAATGAGTTCGGTTCATAAATAAAACCGACTTAATGAGACCTGACCACAAACAGTGAGTCCAGAAAGCTTCTATTTTTTTAT